CGACTGACCTGAGACAGCACCAGCCGCCGGCGCCCTCGCCGGGCTCCCGCCCTTAGTAACCGAGGCGGCGCCTCCGCGCGCTGCGCGCAGCTCTCAGCCAATCAGGACGCGGCGCGCAGCCGCACTGGCCTCGCTGGCGGAAAAGCAGTCTGCGACCGAAAGATCCCTCCGCGTGCGGCCGTGGGGGCGGGGCATGGCCGCCGAGGCGAAGCATACTGATTGGCCAGGAGGAGACAGGGGCGGGGGCGTGGTCACGTGGAAGGCGTGGAGCAATGTCTGTACATTGTTGCGTAATATGGGTCAAGGTAGGTAGAGGAAGGAAGGCTTAGCGAGTGCCGGGGTTCTCCCACGTTCAGCGGCTGTGAAGGGCCAACTCCGTGCCCGGCACCGTGAAAGGCACTTGGCGGAGGCAGAGAGGAGAGCGTGACCAACATCTTTTCCCTCGAGAAGTTTGCAGTCTGATGGCGGAAGGAGGGGTGGGGGGCTAAGATGACGAAAACAAGTGATTCGACTGATACGTTTTTCTTCCTAAGTAACATTATTGTTGCAAAGAATATGGTTTTTTTAAATTCAGTTTTTAATAAGTGTTAGGGAAGAAACAGTAAGAGGCTGAGATTTTAAATGTCCTTGAATAAAGTTTTATAGGTTTCTCCATAAAGGTCTGGTTTATTTTTTGTTTTATTTCTAGAGCATATTTGGAACTACTATGAAAACTTTATTTTTTCCACTGTATTTTCTGATCGGTTACTGTTGGTATGTGGAGAAGTTAATGATTTTTGTGTCGGTCTTGTGTATTTAGTCACCGTGCTGAATTCTCTGCTTTCTCTTTTGTTGGTTTCAAGTTATACATTCTATTCTTCATTCGGTGACTACCCATAAAGTTTTAACATACTTGTCTTAAAACATATTTTTGTAACAAGTTATACAGTTAATAGACATTCATACCCACTCTTCCCATATAGATAAGAAGTTCAGAAAATTATCGTTTTTCAGTTGGTTTCCCAACACACTCTGCCGCCACCCCACTTACACCTCCAAGTCGATTTTATCTGGAATTTTAGTTCCAGATTTCTTTTTTATACCAACGTTGACATTATTGACATATAATAAATTGAATATATCTAAAGCGTACAATTTGATGAGCTTTAACATATGTGTCCAACTGTGAAACCATCACCACCATCAAGATAAGGAACATATCCACCCCCAAAAGTTTCCTCACTACCCCCTTAGGCTGCTTGAAGTTGCCCCCAGCTCACCGATGGTCTGTTCATTTTTAACTTCAGTTTCTCCTGTTTCATTTTGCAATTTCTGTTGCTGTTTCTTCATGTTTACTAACCTTTTCCTCTGCACTGTCTTATCTGCTAGTAATTCCATCCAGTTTATTTTTTGTATCATATCATTTAATTTTCATTTCTACAATTTCATTTGTCTTTTTCATATCTTCCATGTTTCTACTTAACATGGTCTATTTTCTCTCTACCTTCTTTAACATGGTTAAAATGTTACAATACAGTTATAATACAGAGTATAGTTATTTAATGTCCTTGTCTTTCACCATCTGTGTCATTTCTGAGTCTGTTTCTACTGATTGATTTTTCTCCTTATCATGGATTACATTGTCATGCTTCTTTGCAATCCTGGTGATATTTGATTGTATGACCATCGTAAATTTTACCCTGTCGAATGCTGCATATTTTTGTATTCTCATAAACGGTCTTGTGCTTTCTTCTGGGACAGTTACGTTATTTGGAAACAGTTTGAGTCTAGTTTTTTTTTTCCTTTTGAGGCTTGCTCTTATGCTTTGTTATTCGGAATCAGAGCAACCTTTAAGACTAATTTTCTCCCCTACTGATATAACACCCTTCTGATTATTCAGCCTGACAACCGTGAATTTGGAGGTTTTTCCACTTTGGCTGCTGGAAACACAAACTATTTCTAGCCCTGTGTGAGTTTCAAGGATTGTTCCTTCTAATTCTTTCGTATTGTTCTTTCTCTGGCACTGCATGGTTTCCTCCCACACAGACACTGATCAGCATTCAGCTGGAGCTTCCGGGGAGATGAGAGTCCTTTGCACCGCTCTCTCTCCCGGTATTTTGCCCTGTGGTCTCTGGCCACCGTGGCCTCCCCAGACACTCAGCTCCACCTCTGCAACCCAAAGAGACGCTGGGGCTCTGCCTAGGCTCCCTGTCTCGATGCTGCCTTCTAGATGCTCTCTCCAGGCAGCAGCCTGGGGCGATCACGGGGCTCACCTTGTTTGTTTCTGTTCTTTCAGGGATCACTCACCTGTGCTGCCTGATGTCCAGTGTCTGAAATCGTTTCACATGTTTTGACCAGTTTTTTTGTTTTTTCATGCTGCTGGATAAATTCATGTGAAATGGAGCTAGTCATGTGAAGAGTTGAAGGAAGAACATTCCGGACAGAGGGAACAGCACATGTAAAGGCTTCAGATGATCCAGGGCTTGGCGCCTTCTAAGAACAGACTTAAAGCTGGTCAGTGTTGCCGCGTGTATCCAGTCGGATGGAGAATGGTGCGTTCTGAGGCTGGAGTGGTCAGCAAGGATTTGGGCATGGCCAGTGTCAGGAGTTTAAGTAGCACTCCAAGTATGTCAGTGGTCACTTAAGGATTTAAAAAACCAACGACATGGTCCACAGTTTACGAAGGTCAGTCTTGATGCTATTTGGAGACTAGATTCAAAGCAGCAAGAATGGGCCTGGGGAGACGAGGGAGGAGTCCACGTGTGAGATGGTAGTCACCTCGAACAGAGAAGCTGCAGATGTGGAGAGAGCAGGGGGGCTTCAAATTGGACAAGTAGAACTAGTTGATGGATTGGATGCGAAGGTGACAGAGAGGGTTTTGGCTTGAGTAACCCAGTGGCAAGTGGTGCCCTTTCTAAAATAGCAAGAACTGGGGGATGGAGGACAGCGCCAGTGCCAAAGAGGGCCCAGCGCCCCCATAATCGCCACCACTGGCTCCTCTTTTGATACAGCTGATATTTTTTTTCAATCTTACTTAGTCCAACATAAACAGACCAGTTTTTCCCTCTTTTCGATCACGTTGACCTTCTTGTTTAGAAATTCTAGAGGGTGGCAGGCTTCGACTGGGGTGTTGCATGGCAGGGGCAGTGGCAGAGGTTAAGAATTCAGTCACGGACTTGTTGAGTTTGAAATACCTATTATGCATTCAGGTGGAGATGTCAGGCAGGCAGTTGGCTATCTGAGTGCGGAGTTCTGGGCTAGAGCTAGAATTTGGAAGCAAGCCGCCTAAAGAAGGTATTTAAATTCATAGAAATGGATGAGATCATGTCGGGCGAGGGTGAAGAGAGAAAAAGAAAGGATCCAGGATGGAGCCCCAAGCAACACACCGGCACTTAGAAGTCAGAAAAGAGAAACCCAGTAAAGGTGACGACGAAAAAGGTCTGAAGGAGCCGGGAGAAAACCAGGGAAACAAACAAGGAGAGACACTTGCATTCCACGAACATTTACTAAGAATCTACCAAGTACCAGGCTCTATTTTAGGTACAATAATAAGTTGAATAGGACAAAGCGTATAACAAAGCGAGGAAGGAAGGCAATAAGGAAATAAACAATTATGTGTATAATAAGATGTCTGAATATCTACTGGATAGTAAGTCCAATGACCAAAAAAAAAAAAAAAATGCAGGATAAGGAACTAGGAACAGATGGGGGTGCAATTTTAGGGCTGTCAGAAAGGCCCTGTTTGAGGGAATGAAATTTAAGCAAACACTGAAAGGAGGGAAAGAAGCACACCAGGAAGATGGCAGGCAAAGAACATTCCAGGCGGAGGGAATGGCAGATGCAGGAACTCCGTGGTGGGCACGTGTCGTGTATGCTTCAGGGACAGCCAAGCACATCTGGGGCTGGAGTGAGTGAGAGGCAAAGGACAGGATGCTGGAGAAGGAGCGAGGGCCAAATCTCACAGGGCTTACGAGGCACCGAAAAGACTTTGGATTTGAATCTAAATGAGGGACAGGCCACTGGAGATTTAAATGGTGTGATTTTCAGTTGAATGAGTGTTATGAAAACCACCCAAGAAGATACTACGTTTTAGGAAAATGTTTCTCCTCATGCTGTTGCTTCCTGATGCCAGTTTAAGTGAAGGGCCCGACATCGTTCAGAGTGCAGCTTCCAACCTGTGCTAATAATAGTAATAGCAGCGAACGCTCACTGAAAACTACTGTGTCACTCCATGCTAAACGCGGCACGAAGGTCGTCCTGTCTCTCCTCTTCACAGTGACCCTGTGAAATAGATCGATGATGCTCCCCATCTTGCAGAATGGGGAGCTGAGGCTTAGAGTGGTAAAGTGACTTCTGCAGGCCACAGCCCGGGGGTGGCCCTCACCTAAATCTCTGCGATCCTCGTTTCTTTAACTGTCATTCCACACTGTTCATTACAGATGCTCACGGGTGTTTATGACATGGTGCTTTGCCAAATTTCCAAGTTCCGCAGCTTGTCTAGATGTCACCTAATGCACGACCACATTTCCGAATAACTCAGCCTGGAGTCTGCTCGATCCCTCCCGCTTGCTCAGTCTGTGTACCTGCAGCCTCTCATCGGGTTGCGTGGATTCTACCTTGTGTCTCCCTGCAATGTCTCTCTCGCTTGCTGTTTGCTTCCCA